AATATTTTGAGACTTTCATTAAAATTATTCATTGAACTAGTTTGTGTTCGCTCGACTACTGGACGAGTCTAATTTTTCCTCTGTTCGAGCTCGGCTCCATTAAAAAAATCACAGGTCGGCCTTCTCTACTTCTTGTCATGCTTCTGGGGCTTCTACCCGGTTTTCGAGGCCATATTCACTTTTCCTCAAGAGCGCACGATGCTCGAAAAGGAGCGGTCGTCGGGCACGTACCGCCTCTCGTCCTTCTTCATGGCCCTCACCCTCGGCGACCTCCCGACCGTCCTCGTCCTCCCAACCGCCTTCTACACGGCGGTTTACTGGATGGCGGGCCTCAAGCCCAGGCCCGGCCCATTCCTATCGGGCCTTGCGGTGACCCTTTACGGCGTGTTGTGCGCGCAGGGCCTGGGCCTCGTCATCGGGGCACTCGTCATGGACGCCAAGTCAGCGAACGCGCTGGCGTCGGTCGTGGTGCTCGTCTTCCAGCTGACGAGCGGTTTCTACGTGCAGAGGATGCCCGGGTTTATCGGGTGGATACGGTATGGGTCGATCATGCAGTACACGTACAAGCTGTACCTCGGGACGCAGTACGGTCCGGGCCAGACGTATCCGTGCGGGCCGGGTCGGGTCTGTCATGTGGCGGATTTTCCGGCGGTGCAGGCTGTTGGGCTCGGCGGGAAAGGGGTGTGCGTGGCCGCGTTGGGGCTGATGCTGGTGGGGTATAGGGTGGTTGCTTACGTGGCGCTGATGAGGATTGGGGTGACGGGGAAATAAATTTGTACCTTGAATATTATTATTTTTATTTTTTATTTTTGAACTTTTTTTTTTGAATGAATAATTTTTAACTATTCAAAATAAGCATGTTCTTAATGCGCCGAGTTTGTGCCTAAACAAGCCAGATTATATTATAAGTTCAAAAAATTGTGTAAAAGACTTTTATTTATCAAACCTATCGAGCGTTAAACAAGCTTGATCTCGGCTCATTTAACTTTGTTTGTCAAACAAGTCGAATCGAGTTGAAGCTTTAACGAGGCGAAGTCAAACTAAAATAATGATAGTTTTTTTTTTTTTTTTTTTT